GATATTTTTTAAATTCAAATAAAGACAAGTGAACAAGCTTTAAGATAATACCTATAACTTTACATGTCCAAAAATTGACGAGAGTCTGATTCCACCACGCTGCCTCTCATTTAATTCATCGACAAGTGCGTAAGTAGCTGAGTAACATGTGAAAAAATATCAAATTAAATAGTATAAGCATTTGTGAAAATAGTCAAAAAATTAAAGAAAAGTACACCTTGTTGAACGTGCTTAATTTTATCCCTGGAAAGCAACGCATTTTCGATCATGAAATTAAACTGTTTAAAAAAAGAGACACAATTTTATCAATATTTATTATTATCAACATCAAAACTTCTTAATGTTCCAAATATAGAGCATTTTCTAAATTTAATTTTGCAACATGGGGATGCCACGTTTTAAACTCTAAAGTCTATAATTAATTCCTTTTGTCTTTTTTCTAACATTTAGGTAAAGGAAGTGGTTATCCTACCAGTTTGCGGAAACATTTAATTTACTGCTCCCTGTAATCCTCCTCATTCGATACTGTATAAGACCTTGAAGGGTGAATCATGCGCAAATTTTATGACTTTGATGTTTTTGTTCATGAAAAGTACCGTCGTTGGTGCAGAGCGTGAACAAGAGTGACGTTCCATGTGATCGAGCATGCCAGTTGGATCCATCCGTTTAGAATTCTATCTGTAGATTGTGTTACAAATGCACATATACTTATACTTAGCATCGCCAAAAAAATTGTGCGTAATTATTTACGCTCTGTTCAAGATCATAGAGTATTGTTCTGGCTGGATAAATAATGATTACTCAATTTTTACGATCTCTTCCTTATTATAGATTCTGTCTGAGGTGTGAAGTTCTGATACTCTTTTTCTTTCTTTCTCTCTTTCTCTCTTCCTCTCTTTCTCCCTCTCTCATTCTGTCTCTTATTCTCTTTCTCTTTCTCTCTCTGTTTCTCTCACTTTCTTCCCCTTCTCTCTCTCTCTCTCTCTCTCTCTCTCTCTCTC